AAACTGAAAATAAATCAAAATGAACAAGGAAACCGAATTGTAGAAATACTTTGAAGGAAATAAAAGATGAAATTCCACATGTTTGTGATATTACTGTCCAATATTAGAGAATATTTAGATCACAGTTAAAAGGATGAGTTTAACACAATATGACAGTGGTCTCACAGTATGAGCACACAGTGAGTGTGCGGTGCCCTCACATATACTACTCACACGGTGAGGATCACAGTATGAGGATCGTGTGATGTCACGTGTTGACTGGGAATTCATTGTCTTTTTTCAGCTTTTTGTTCAAAATGCTGTTTATTAATTAATTTTTAATTTATGAAACTTATCCACATTCAAGTGTTTAAAAAAGGAATGCATGACACGAGAATAAAATGTGTTTGTTTACAAGCAGATACCCTGTTCTTTCTTTTGATGTTTTGTATGTTCAGATATTCATGTAACAAAATATATACAAATTGATACCTAAATAGGGACATAGTAGTATACTTAAAGTATGATGTAAAGTTCACTTAAAGAAAACATACGAGTATACTTGCAGTATAAAACTACTAAACTAGTAGTTTACTGAGACTATACTTCAAAGTGTACTACAAGTATTTAATTAGTGAACTATCAATATACTATTGCAGTACAAACTAAAAACATAGATGTAAACTAGTCGTGTACTCCGTTTACTACTGTTATACTTAAAGCATATTTAAATGTATATTTTTATATACTAGAAAGTGGGTCAATTTAGTCCCAAGGAGTATTGGAATAGTACACTTACAAGTAAACTACTAGTACACTGATATTTGTATACTTCATAAAGTATACTTAAATATATACTTGAACTTTACTTAAGTATACTTAACAAAATAAACTTGAAGTATACTACTTTTTGGTAAGGGATTGCAAACTGGCGTTTCTTACCACATTATTGTAACGTATTATCTTAATTATGAACACACTGGTTTGTAGTACAAACAGTTTTCCCGTTTACTGGACTTATTCTTCTCGCTCTTTCCCTGCAGCGGCTAATGAACCGGGAGTCTTGCACATTCACATTCAACGGCTTGCTTCCGCCTTGAAAAATAATTTGGATACAGTAAAGAAGAATCCTTTTCATTAACCCTGACTGAGATGAAGATTTGAAATCAAACTTACTGTGATGTTAGTGAGCTGTGGAGCGCCCCCTGCTGGAAGCAGATGCATACTGACGCAGAAAGCAGGTTTGGACAGACAGCAGAGGACAGATCTCAGCCCAGAATGAAGGAAGCATCTGGATGAATGAGGCCTGCTTTGACCTACAGACTCGCCGTCTCTTCATGAAGGAATGATATTGTTAATGCAGAACTGTAGTTCTTAAGTCTGAGACAGAAATGTTTGATAGATGAGAAGTCATTTTACGAGTTCTGTAAAAGCTTTATTAGAATGTAGTTACAGAACAGGCTGCTTGTGAAGAGTATGTTGTGAACTGTAATAGAAGCGAGTGCTTAGCGAGTGGTAAGAGACCAAACAATGGTCATATCACTTTGTTCATTTCCTCTGTAACTCAAAGTCTTGCTTCAGTATTTTTGGATGGCAAAGTGATCGTGAAACTATCTGGTTTGACTCCACATGAGCGTAATAAAAGTTCACAGAGCTTGAAGTTCACTAGGAGGCTGTTGTGAATGTGGGTTTTGTTTTGGGCCTGGAGAAGCGTGAAGAAGCGGGTCTTTCTCCGGCTGTAGAGGCTCAGTAACTTCATTAGGATAACAGGCAGCACATGCTAGAGCTCTGGATCAGATGCTTCATAACGTGACCCTTCTCTTCTCTTCAGTTCTCTTCATCAGGCTTCATGTCCAGCAGACGCAGACGGACAGATGTTTCCCCTGTACCTGCAGTCCAGGTGAGTTCCTCAGGCTTGCTCTTCACTGGCTGCAGATCACGGATCTGTCACAGGGCTTGATGTTCAACAATGACACGACTTTAGTCAAGGACAGACCCATAGCAAGCAGACCTAGTGATCAGTTGCCTTCTTCTTATATGTATATGAATATGAGTCATATCTTATTTGAATTGCTGATGTCGTTATCTGAATGATGAAACCAGATGCTACCGTGACACACTGTTAAATGAATGATTTTAATATATTAGAATGATTTAAAGGATTTAAGCGTTAGTTTAATTTTAATTTATGTTTCATTTCAAAATATTCTGTCAATCATCACCATGTCTCGCTGATTTCACCTGGATCACTTTCTCAGTGCATGGAGATATTATTTTGACAGAGGAACATTTTCATTGTCTTTTCTAAGCAGAAATGTACTTTACCATTGTTATGGTTTGTATTTCTTGGCTTGATACTTTAAGAGATCATACAATGATTTTGTGTTTGTTACTCTATTTAGCGAATCCTTTATTTTACATACTGTCTGATTGAACAGAATTATTTATGATTCAGCTTGTGTGAAACATGTACAGTATGATTATTGAGTGACATTCATCATAATAATTCTCTGACTGCAGAGAAGTTCACTTCATAATCATACACTATTTAGTTGTACAGTACCTGTCATATATTCAAATAACACTCAAAGCTAAAATCAGTCTAAAGTGTTTACTGAACACTAACAAAGAAATTAACAATTATAGGCATGCAAACACATACATAAATAAATACTTTGACATATAATCAGCTAAAGGTCTTTTCTAATGATAAGTTCTAATGATGGCAGCATTAATCCGATGGGTCGATCGTAATGTGATCTACAGATATATGACAGATAGGGTCACACCTTTGAGTCACTTTGAGGCTAATTAGATAGTAACATTTATTGGGAAACATGTGGACAAAGAAAACAATCATATCCTCACAAATCTAGAACTGTAGATCCAGAGATACAGAGATACACGTTATGAAGATGCGTAGCCTAATGGCCATAGTTAACAAAAACATACACATTTATAGACATTTGTAGTAAAGTGAAATAAAGTGTAATGTAAGTAACTATATGTGACACAACTAATGTGTGTGTGTGTGTGTGTGTG